CCGTAAGAATTAAATGTTAAATTACTGCCAGGTCCTATGGTGGAACGATGGTTTGTGTAACTTAGCATTACAGTTCAATTAAACATAATCTATGCCATCGACTATGACTTTCTGGAATCTTTTGAATGTGTTGTCAGATAGTAACTGCTTAATTCGTAAACTTGAGATGTGGCATCCTGACAGCACCTTAATAAGCTGCTGTGACCATAACAGCATTGGAATGTTTCCCACTTGCAATCCACTGTTTAACAAGAATATAGAATACATTTGAAACTTAGAATTGTCAGGTTTTGGAGCATAATAATGTCTGGAAAGGATCTGTGGATTTTAAACATGTACCATTTCTTGAATGGTGAATAATAATATTAGGCACTACTCAAACTGCTTTCACCAGGGCCATAATGGTAAGGTGCTTGAATGACCTTCACCAGAGGGAGAGTCTTCCATTTCTGGAAGACTGGTTGGCAGGAATGGAATGTGTGCAAAAAGAGGAACATACTATGGGGTTTATTCTTTCAATCCTGAAACAATTGAGCCGTTATTTTATTGACATCAGTATGATGGCTATTTTTTCACTTAATTTCTTATGGAAATTAATGCTGATCTGGTTTATTCTCAAACTTGCTATTTAGAATATTTCCAATTTCTTAGTGTCTTATAACATTGAGAGCATATAAGCTAATCATTGCTGCTATGCTGAGATATTTTTTACTTTTAGAAGAGAGCTTTAGTATTTTTCAGTGTTTCTCCTGAAGTAATTTAATCAACGTGACCAACTTCATACCATACTTTAGACCACATTCTGAAATATTTTGGAAAGTATAAGATAACCTTGAGAGAGGTTAGACGTGAAAGAATTCCTCCTACTCAGTGTTTATGACGGTAACTCGTTCTCAGATCCGTGACTGGATGTCTGTGGTGATTTAGCTGGTTTAACTAAGTACCATGCTGCTGGGCTAAGTTTCTTTGCAGAGCTTTATTGAAACTGACCACAGCCACTCAGAATCCTGGGATCAACTTTAGCTTTGTTTGCTCAGCACCTGTGCCTACAGCAATGGCGACCTCTGGTTGATCCAGAGAGCTCTATGAACTTAGAGTGCTCAACCTTTTGTCTGATTTCCTAAACTCACTACCTTCTTCACTGTTTTTAACGCTACAGAGCATGGATTTACTTTTAAAATTTAAAAGGGGATTAATTCTAATTTTGTTTTGAAAATCTTTTTTTTTTTAATTTTTAGAATTTAAAACACCCTTTGAAATGTTTAGAGATACCCCAGGGTGTTGCAAATGGATCTGAGGTTCCACTTTGTCATTATGCAATCTTTTCTCCGCCGTACTAGTGTGGTTTTCCCGAAATGTTCACACTATTTTCTCTCACTCTTGAGAGGCATATGCTTCATTTCTCACAGAAGATACAATAAAATGCTCTTCCAGTACTCTTTTTTCTCTGTACTCGTGGGCTTTCTCGGTGACTTATATGCCATTTTACTTATAAATGTTTTCCCAGTTAGCTTGTATTGTGCTGCGTTATTTTTCTATTATCTCTACTTTACATCATTCACGAGAGGTCTTCACCCTAACTGCTGAAAGATAACTGGCACGATGTGACCAGTGTTCCAAATCATTAAACCAGAATGACTCAGAGTGAAGACAAGTTCATCAAAGATTAAAAGTTATTATAGGATGTGCAGAGTTATACCCTAAAATACTGGGGAAATTGTCCAAGAGTATAATATTGAATACTAGTCCAAACATTCATTTGAAAGTCCACTTGACAAACTTATTCAGACTGAAAGGGCAAAAATTGCTTAACCTTTTTGCTGAGCACTGAAACGGTCAATGGGGTAATAATTGAGTGAGCAAAGAGGGGTGTAGAGAAGGCAAATCAACGCTAGAGGGGATCCATACAGGTGACAACGTGAGCATAAGAGTAGGGTCAGGGCCTAGTGTCCCTTACTGAACGTGAGAAGATGACACTGGCCAAAAGGAAATGAGACGTATTGAGAAACAATGAGAAAAGGAATGTGTGGCCAGATAATGAAGGGATTTGAGTCTCTAGCTACAAATAAGAAACTGTAATGATAGTATTAAGTTTGTGATGCTGTTTTGAGGTAAGATTTGTTTGTGTACATTTCTTTTTTTAGGACTTTTTAAAGTTAACCTCTAGAGTGCAGTATAAATTGGAATTTTGGAGAAAGTAGGGCAGCTAAATGCCAATTCATTTGAAAAGTTACATGATGTTAATGTATTTGTTGACATAAATTATTAGCAAAAGGGGGAAAAACTAGAATCATAAAAATTCTCATGCAGAGGAAGTGATCTCACTTCCGCTTTTGTTGGTCAGTAATTGTTTACAGGCTTCCCTTTTCTCACTTGATGTAGCCATCCTTTCCACGTGATGGAGGAATAAGGTGACACATCAGGACAAAATCTATGAGCAAAGGCCTAAGGTGATAATGCTGTGACTCTCGGCTCTTAGTCAAACATGCATGCAGCCCAAGCTCACAAAGGTTCCTTAATGTCTTCTCCCCAGCAAGGTGTTGGAAACAGGCCCGCTGTGTTTTGATTTATTGTGAGAACAGATAACCTTCTAAGATAGTGGAATATGTGCTTGATTTATCTTTGTTCTATTCTATTGAGCAGGGTGAGGTAACCCTAGGGTTAATCTAGGCACGGAACTAAGAAGGGAAAAGTTGGCTTGGACAAATTCTGTGTTATAGATGAAGTATAAATCACCTCCTCAAAATCTAATGAAGTAAGGACAAAACATCAGCAGTTAGCATCAACTTGAGCGTTATGGTCTGGGTGTCGGCCACTCCTTACTCTATTGGGTAATGACAAAGCTCTCAGTAAAAACGAGAGCAGAAGATCCAGCCTACTGAGACCCAGTTTGACCCTGCACTTAATTTGCAGAGTGGCAGAGGAGTGGCTGCCTTCACTTTAGCTGTTTGTGCTCTGAGAGCACCGGACGAGGTGAGCTGGGCTGCATGAGTCTCCCTCGGACTTTGGATAAGCCACCCAGTGTCTCTGGGTTTCAATTTTGCCACAAGCATAGGACTAGAAATCTGAGAATCAAGTTCATAAAAATTTCTTCAAATTCTTGAGAATTATGACGTACTATGCATATCCCCAGGAATAGGAGTATTGGCTGCTGAGGTAAAAGAGTGGTTCCCACAACCCGGTGTCCGAGAAGGGACTGTTTTCATTCTTTTGAAAGCCTAATAGAACCCTTTTATGTAGGGGCACTGAGGCGGTCCGGGCTGATTTTGCCTGGGAGAGTACAAATGTAATGTGATGACTTTGGGAGGCCCATGCTGTTCAGAGGTATTGACTGGTGTATACATACGTCCTTGATTAGTGAGAAATAGAATGTGAATTAGTAAATTCAGTCATCCCAATAGGTAAAATAGTTGAAAAATATGAAATCCCTGTGGAATAAAGAAAGAAAATAATTGAGGTCCACAATCTCTTATCTAGAACGCTTGGGGCCAGAAATGTTTTAAAATTCAGAAAATCTTTGGATTTTAGAAATGTACTAGGATGCCTAGAGCATGTATTAAGTAACCTCTTCTGAAGGATCTTGATCAGCACTCCTTAATTTAACACATTAATACTCCGACAATTAGAGTCGTGAATAAACACTCTGACTATTCAATGAGATGAAATATTGTGAGAACAGATAACCTTCTAAAATAGCAGGACATGTGCTTGATTTATCTTTGTTCTATTCTATTGAGCAGGTGGGGTAGCTCTCGTGTTAATCTAGGCACAGAACTAAGAAGAGAAAAACTGGCTTGGACAAAAAGAAAGGCTAAGTGGCCTCATAGCAGTTAAGATCAGATTTTCTTACCAAATTAGTTTGGTGTGAACTTACAAGAACCTTGTGAACCTTTTTTGGATTTGTGAATTGTGGCCAAAGTGTTACGGAGGGACCTGATTAAGTAACCAACCAGTCACTGAGCAATTACCATGTGCCAGCAATAAGGGGGTGTCATTTGCACTAATCTTTGTAAGCAACCTGTCGAAGTAAACATTGTTATCCATTATCCATAATTTACAAATCAGGAGACAAAGCTCAAACACAGTCAGTGAGTAGCCAGAGGCCACACTAATATGTAGCAGAGCTGGGGTTTGAACTCAGCTCATTTTGGCTCTGAAGACAAAAGACAATGTTGTTAGCTCACTGCTTGGTCAAGGCCCTTTGTTAGTGTGATTATCTGCCCTGTTGCCTGCATAGTTTAAAAAAAAAAGCCTTGAAAATTTAATTAGGATTTCTCTCCTCACTCTGCACAGTCCCCCTGGAAAAGTTCATGCAATGATCATTTACAAACTAATGACCCCCAGATGGATCTGTACCCCATTTCTGGGCATCACACTGAATATTCAACTTACCATTGGGCACCTCCACGTAGCTGTCTCTCTGGCCCAGCAAGTTCCAAATGGAACTAATCATCTTCCTCCTCAACCCTTCTCCTCTGTCAGCATTCCCAGTTCTACCATCTCAGTTACCCTTCAGCCAAAACCCTCCACTCTCCTCCCTTTCCAACTCTATTAACCACTAAGTCCTGGGGGTGCAGCTGGAGAGCAGTATGGAAGAGGCTGTGGGTTTCAAAGGACAGTTATTCAAATTACCAGTAGGAAATGTCAGACCCTTTCACCATTCCCAGATGGTATGTATAAAATGAAGGTTCTGACCAATTGTGGCCAGCCAAAGGAGCTTCAAATCCCATCCAGCTGCTCAATAATAAACTAGCATATATTAAACCCTAAAACTGTACTTGATATTCTAGACTATATATATGTTATGAAGTCTGCTATCTTTGATCTCAAAATTAGCTGTATTTTAGCTGTTTGGGTGGCTGTGTTGTGATGTTGAGTAGCTAAGTGGGTAGCATGCTCTCCAGTAACAACGCCTCTAGCAACCAACCTTTGTGCCAGACTTGTCCTGCTCTGCTAAAGAGTGAAGTAACAGCCATCTGTTTTTTCATTTCCACCTTTAGGTAAAAAGCCAAACCTGAAAGTCCACATCAATACCACAAGTGACTCCATCTTCTTGAAGTTCCTGCGTCCAAATCCTAACGTAAAACTGGAAGGCTTCCTCCTGGGTTATGGCAGCAACTTGTCACCAAACCAGTACTTCCCTCTTCCCGCGGAAGGGAGACACACTGAGGCCGTAGTGGGTAAGATGCTTGGGTCTCGGGCGGGGGAAGAAGAGGTAACAGGTAATTGGTGTTACATGAGTTGGGAATCTTGAAGCCAAGCACCATTTCTTCTACATCCTCAGCAGGACAGAACGCCAGAATGACAATCATCTTCGTGATTGTTGTAACCCATAGCACAGTTCTTCACATCAAAAAAATATGTAATCCATACTTTGCATATACTGCAGAAAAAATCAACTTCATTGCCATTATACCTGCAACCCTCATCACGTAACTTAAATTGCATAGTGAAAAAATAAGCTAAAATGCCTGTTTAAATCTCTGTAACATAGCTTGTTTCTGTGTATTAATTTTCCTTCTCGCTGTGTCTTTACTTTCTCCTGGTGGAAAATGTCATCTATAGCTTTCTTGGTGTCTCTCCATGAGAAGCCACCTTTAAAAAGGAAAGAAAATGTATTATACTTATAAAATTTTAGAGTCTTTCTGACAAAAGGATTGAAGTTTTTGTATGTATTATAAAATTTTACATTCCTTTGAAAATGTTTTCAATCACATTGAAATGTAATTTGAGGATGTGGGCACCTTCAAGCCTTGTCCAGAAAGGTTATTTGCAAATAAAACCTTTTTAAAGGATAGCATTTTTTTTAAAGGGGTCATCTATTACAAATGCTTTCAAAGGCTTTCTGAACAGTTTAAGATGAGATTTATCGTTTGCTCCACTGGTAAGATTATCGCTAAGGGGCCTGTCCATGAACTGCTGATGGTTGATCCTGTAACTGCATTAGATTTGGATTCAGGTTTTTTTGGGAAAAAATACTTTATAGGTAGCACTGTGTGTTTCCTAACAACTCACAAAAGAGGTGCATGATGGCTGGTGTCGCAATTTGTGATGGTGAGACTGTTGGCTGTGTAGGTGGCTTCAGCCTGAGCCCTCCATTATAAAATTCACCATCAAATTTTTACTTAATGGTGTTAGCATCTATCAGTGATCATTGCCCAGATCAATTATTTTATACAGGGCTTGTAAAACGGCAGTTTTGCATTCTAGACATATTCTAGATAGACTCTAATTCTATCATTCCTGCTGCGTTTTTTAGCTGAAATTCTACAATAAAGAAGAATTTCCTCTTATTTACTTTTTAAATTTCCCTATATAGTGACTTAGGAAAAACAGGACAAGTTCTCATTTTAATGAGTTGGTGCCCTGGTAATCTCCAGTGGTGACCAATGATATTGTTTGTTTTATGATCGATAAGAATGCAGTGATTTTTATATACGTAGTGGGTTTTAATCCATACGTCACTTCTCCATCCCTTGTCTTTCTTTTCATTGTCCAGCTTGAATATGGCTGCTTACCTCATTCGCTATCAGACTGTGAACTCCTTTAAGTCAGGCTTTGTGCCCCCTACTTTGTGATTCATAGCACAATGACTTCCACCGAGTAGACGGGCAATGAGCATTCATGGCACTGAACTGACCAGACTCAAGTCTGTGTAGCATATTCGGGCTGGAGAGGCCCTGAGAGATGGTTTGATCGAGGCCCTTGTCATCGGCGATCCAAGATAGGTAAAATACATACATTGCTGTGTACCTTAAAGACCTCTAGGGACAAAGATTCCTACACTTCTTCTGGAAGGCTGTTCCAAGTAGCATTTTTAAAACTCTTATCTCATCTTTTGGATCAATATGTTCTTTTTATTAATCTCCTTTCTCTTCTAGTATTCTAGTGGAAAAGAGAAATCGTTCCTCTTAGATATTTCCTTTTCCATCATGTCTTATGCCAAGGAATCTGTTTACTCCTACTTTTATTTCTTCAAAATGGACTTGTATTTCCAAGTTAAATGTTGTTCTTTGGTTGCTTGAATTGATTATTTATAGTCTCATAATGATTGAGTTTGTATTAATTGCTCCTCATTGATTAAGCAGATGTCCATTAGTTTTGATTGCTGCTATAACAAATTACCACAAACTTGGTGGCTTAAACATCACAGATTTATTATCTTACAGTCTGTAGGTCAGAAGCCCAACTCAGGTCTCTGGGCTAAAGTCAGGATGTGGGCAGGTGTGCCGTCCCTCCGCAGGCCCTGAGGGGAAGCTGTTTCCTTGCTTTCTGTGGTTTCTGGAGGCTGTCCACACTCCTCTTCCTCCTTCAGTGCTAACAGAAGTGGGCCAAGCACTTCTCCAACCACGTCAGTCTGATCACCCCTTCTGCTCTCTCTTCCACTTTTAAAGGTCCTTGTGCTCATATTGAGCCCACCTGGATCATCCAGGACGCTCTCGCTATTTTAAGATCAGCTGATTAGCAAACTTAATTCTATCTGCAACCTTAATTCCCCTTTGTCCTGTAACCTGGCCTACTCACAGGTCCTGAGGGTTAGGATGCGGACGACCTTTGAGGGGCCGTGATTCTGTGATTCGACCACAAACTGTTTGAAATTTGTGTCTGTATTCTATCCCCTGCCCCCAATTCTCAATTCTGCTCATCTGTAAAATGGTAGTAAAGTCCATTTTTCACAGATGTGCTGTGGGCGTGTTAGTGGATTCATGATCACAAAGTGATGGGTTGAAATCCCTGGAGAGCAAGGTGCTGTACAAGAGCAAAGAATTATTATTTCTTTAAGGAAAAAAAGCATCACTTACAGCTCGTCCACTTACTTGCCTCCGTAACAGGATAGTGTATTTGTTCAGTTGCACTGAACCATACCCAAACATAGGAACTTACGTTCATTTTCAAAACAAATATGAAGTGCATATCGTCTGACACATTTCACTTGTGTGATGTGTTTAAAAGATGCCACCTTTGAAATAAGAAGCTATTGATCATTCAGAAATATTCAAGTTAACATTTAGTGATCTGTGGAGTAACACTCCTACTAAATAATCACCTATAAGTATTTCTACATTTACTTTAACATCTGTCTGTCTGTCCACCTATTGTTGACACAGATATTTTCAAAAGTTACATACTGGTCTTACAGGTAAGACCAGGGACAAAAATTCCTACACTAAAAACACAATATTCCCTTTTGCTGTTTTGGAAATTAAGATTCATATGAAACATCTGTAAAAATCTTACTTCTGTAAAATGTTCTAAGATTTTAGTAGGTTAATTGGAGCAGAATAGGTAGTATTTTCCCAGGTGACTATTAATAAATATTAATGGCCATGAGAGTCCTGCCGTGATGTGATTGAACATGGCTCACATATAGAAGGCTCCCGTATCGTCTTGTTACCCACATCACGAACATTCTCGTTTCCGGTTTATGTGTCCAGTTTTTGCTTTGTTACTTTCACGTTCAGCTGTTGGTAATTTTGCAAACATCCAATAAAGTGAAAAATGAGAATTCTTTTACAGCAAATTTCTAGAGACTCATATTTTATGATGTTCTTCTGACATTCGAAACTACTTTAATCAATGTCACCTGGGAGGGAAATTCCATCAATTATGTAGTGCAAGTTAAGGAGATATTTTAGTATCCATACTGCAAGAAATTGCAAAAAAAATCATATATTTGTCACTACCACGAATTCTGAGTAAAGAATTTGTCTTCCAACCAGGCGTTAGGACTCCAAAGAGATGTGAGGGGGCAAATTTCTTAGCTCTCATGTTCTCACAGCTGCTAACCCTACAGAGTGTGTGTCTCCCACTCAGCCTTTGGCCCCTTTGCCACCTTCCCTGTCACCATCTTGCCTACAGCCCCTTAGAAGGATTCCTGCGCTAGGTGGCAAGGAGGAGGACACAGTACTAACAGCCCTGTAGACACTCTGCACTGGAAAGAACTAGAATGCTGGTATCTGCATTCTGGGAAAGCTCTGCCTCTGCTCGGAGAGGCAGAGTAACGTGAGGAAAGAATATGTATGTACTTTTGAATCAGATAGACCTGGGTTCAAATCGAACACAGCTACTTACCGCGGAGTAGTTCTGGGTAAGTCACTCAACTTCTCAGTTTCATTTTTCTCATACATAAAATAGACAATAATCTTTCAGGAGTGTTGTGAAGACTATAGATAAATCATACAAGGCAGATAATATAAACCCTCGTACAGAGTAGGTGTGTTTTATAGGTTTTGTCAGTTGCTACCATAAGAGGCTGAGTGGTCTGGGATAATTTACCTAACCTTTCTGAGCTTTGTTCGTCTCAACTGCTAATAATCAGTGAGCTAAGTCACCACTGAAGTTCTGCTCAGAGCTAAGATTTACTGCCTAGGGTGAAAACCCCTGGTCTAAGAGGTAGTGCTGTGGTTTTTCTGTTCGGTTTGTTTTGTGGAGAATGGCGTGTCAACAGAATTGTAGAGGTAGATTGCTGTAGTGGAGCTGTCAGTTACTGAAGGGAAGTAACCATACTCATCTCTCTGCTGCACCTAAGAAACGTTTTCTTGGATGGGACAACTCCAAACACAGATTAAGAAACAAAGGAAGAAGCAAAGTCTAAGAGCGTGGCCCAGTGCCCTGGGTGCGCACACCCCTCCTCCCGCAGCCGTGACCGTCTGTTGGTCCTAATGGGGGAATTCCTCTTCGGCAAACTTGGCTGAGTGGAGTCATAGGTGCCTCTTGGAGTTCCACAGCTGTGGCCTCCAAAGGAGAATAAGGCGAATCCTCAAAAGATACGGCAGACAGGGTTTGTCATCTCCAGATGTCACTTTTCCCATCCCTGTCTTACTCAAATAAATCAATTTTTAGCAAGAACAGCAAAAATCTTGACCTGTCTTACTAAACAGACCAAAATATGAGCATGAAACTATTTCATTTACTTAACTGATGGTAATTTTATCTCAGCATGTTCAGGCCAAAATTTAATCATCAGTTTCTTATTCTGAAGTTTCTCACTTTTTTATTTCACAGGGGAGAATTAATTTAAAAAACTTTGAATAAAGTTTGTTTGTAATGATTGATCCAGATGTAAATAAATATAAATTATATGCTTATAAATTTTATGCAATTTATATTCCTATAGATTATTAATACCTCTTACAAGTTCTATCCTTAATTTTTGCATTTGTGTGGAAAGCAAAAGGAA